CCCCCGCCCCCGCCTTTAAGGAAGGATATAAGCAAAGGTAAATGGGAAAGAATGTGGAATAATACACCCTCTTCTTTGGTACTGCTAGGCCCTGAGTTTAGATTATCATCATGGGCTTGATATCAATATCCCCTGAGGGAGAGAAGTAAAATGGGGGGCATCCAAGAGACTCTTCCCGGTGGAAGAATCCAAGTTCAAGTGACAAAAAAATCAGTTGTATTTCTAACTGCTAGCAGCAAACAACTGGAAAATTAAACTGACAAACCTCTTCTACTTATAATAGCACCAAAACATAGAAAATTTTACTCAGAAATGAATTTAACCAAAACAGTGTAAGACCTCTACAGTAAACGATAAAACATACATAAGAGAAGTTAAACTACAAAGTATGTAAGAGAAATTAAAGACTGCTAAGTAAAGAGAGAGATACACCACATTTGTGAACTGGAAATTTCAATATTCGTAAAATGCAATTCTTCTCAGATTATTCTATAGATTCTACCCATTCCTCAAACCCTAAGAGGCTTTGGTAGAAATCGACAAGCTGATTTTAAAATGGCTATAGATGGGGCGCCTGGGTGGCTGAGTCGGTTGAGCGTCCAACTTCAGCTCAGGTCATGATCTCACGGTTTGTGAGTTCGAGCCCCATGTCAGGCTCTGTGCTGACGGCTCAGAGCCTGGAGCCTGCTTCAGATTCTGTGCCTCCCTCTCTCTCTGTCCCTCCCCCACTCATATTCTGTCTCTCTCTCTCTCTCTCTCAAAAATAAATAAAAACATTAAAAATAAATAAATAAAATAAAATGGGTATAGAAATGCAAAGGACCAAGGCTATATCATTTTTCTAATTTGGCCAAGAAGAAAAAATACTGGGGGGATTCCCCTGATTTCAATACCTACTTTAAAAGTTTAATAATCAAGACAGTGTAATATCGGCATAAGAATAGGCAAAAAGATCAATGAGACAAAATAGAGAATCCTGAAACAGACCCAAACAGATATGGTCAACTTCTTTTTTTTAACAAGGCACCAAGGGGAAAGAAAATTGTTTTTCAATGAGCAAGGCTGAAACAACAGGACATAGGGGAGAAGTTAACCTTGACCTCTGCCTTCAACCCACACAAAAATTAATTCAAAATCATCGTAGACTGAAATGTGAAGATTAAAACGACAATGATTCTAGAAGAAGACATAGGGAAGACATCTTTCTGACCTTCGGGTAAGCAAATATTTCTTGTAGAGGACAAAAAGTACAAACTAACTATACAAGAAAGTATTAATAAACTAAACTTCATCAAAATTTAAGGGGCGCCCGGGGGGCTCAGTTGGTTAAGCATCCCACTTCAGCCCAGGTTATGATTTCACGGTTCGTGAGTTCAAGCCCCGCATCAGGCTCTGTGCTGACAGCTCACAGCCTGAAGCCTGCTTCGGGTTCTGTGTCTCCCTCTCTCTGACCCTCCCCTGCTCGCACTGTCTCTCTCTCTTTCTCAAAAGTAAAAAACATTAAAAACAATTTTTTTTTAAATTTAAAACTTCTGAGCTAAATGGCGGATGGACATTAAGAAGGGCCCCTGTTGGGATGAGCCCTGGGTGTTGTATGTAAGCAAAAAATCTCTGGGTCCTACCCTGGAAAAAAATACTACACTGTATGTTAACTGACTTGAATCTAAATAAATAAACTTTAAGAAAATCAAAACTTCAGCTCATCAAAAGGCACCATTAAAAATATGAAAAGCCAAGGGGCGCCTGGGTGGCGCAGTCGGTTAAGCGTCCGACTTCAGCCAGGTCACGATCTCGCGGTCCGTGAGTTCGAGCCCCGCGTCGGGCTCTGGGCTGATGGCTCGGAGCCTGGAGCCTGTTTCCGATTCTGTGTCTCCCTCTCTCTCTGCCCCTCCCCCGTTCATGCTCTGTCTCTCTCTGTCCCAAAAATAAATAAACGTTGAAAAAAAAAAAATTTAAATAAAAAATAAAAAAAAAAAAATAAAAATATGAAAAGCCAAGCAACAGGCAGGGAGGAAATATTTGCAACACACACATCTGACAAAAAAAAAAACATGATCGAGACTCTATAAAGAACTTCTATAAATCAATAACAAAAGATAACCTAATTTTTTAAATGAACAGATACAATTAGCATATGAAAATGAGCTCAACATCACTAGTTACTACAATGATGCAAATCTAAACCAAAAGAAAAGAGAACATTTCAAAACGCAGAAGGACTCCTTGGCAGGAGTCTCCCAGAACATGAATGTGTATTGGGGGCTTTTGTTTTAAAGACTACAGTATCTTTTTGACTTGAAGCCTGTGCAAAGGGCTTTCCCCCTCACCCTTCACCAGAATGAAACCACAAATAATCAGCTACTAGTAGGAACAGACAGCAAAGACTCAAGGAGACTGGAGACTCAGAGTGACTTCAGTTCAAGAGATGTCTGTCCACCCCACCCCAGATCTTGCTTTTGGTTTCTCTCTGCTAAAAGATCTGCTTCTCAACAAGCTGCTGACTCAACCAGGGTCTTGACACAAGGGCTGCTCTTGGAGTCAAAGGGTACAAAGATTCCTAGGATAGAAGCAACAGAGGACTGGTTTCTCTAGAGGATACTGAACCAAATAGGGATTAAACTGTGTCCTAGATACACCTGCTCAGGCAAGAGAAACAAAAGCAAAACTACACTATTGGGACTACACCCAAAGAAAAGCTCTTGTACAGCAAAGGCAACTGGTAACAGAATAAAAAGGCAATGTACTGAATGGGAGAAGATATTTGCAAACAATATATACAATGAGGGGTCAATATTCAAAAGATATAAAAAACTTACACAACTCAACACAAAAAAAACCCACAAATAATCTAATTAAAAGTGGGCAGGAGGGGCACCCGGGTGGCTCAGTCAGTTAGGTGTCCGGCTTCGGCTCAGGTCACGATCTCACAGTTGGCGAGTTCGAGCCCCACATTGGGCTCTGGGCTGACAGCTCAGAGCCTGGAGCCTGCTTGGGATTCTGTCTGTCTGTCTATTTCTCTCTCTTCTGCCCCTCCCCCACTTCAATTCTGTTTCTCCTTCTCAAAAATGAATAAACATTAAAAAAAAAAAGTGGGCAGAAGACCTAAACAGACATTTTTCCAAAGAAGACATACAGATGGCCACAGACACATGAAAAGATGCCCAACATCACGGATCATCGTGGAAATGTAAATCAAAACCACAATGAGATGTCACTTCACATCTATGAGAATGGCTAGAATAAAAAAGACATGAAATAACCAGTGTTGGTGAGGATGTGGAGAAAAAGGAACCCTTGCACACTGTTGGTGGGAATGTCAATTAATACAGATACCATGGAAAACGGTATGAAGGGCTCTCAAAAAATTACAAATACAATTATCATATGATCCAGTAATTCCACTACTGGGTGTTTACTCATAGAAAATGAAAACATTAATTTGAAACGATATGTGTACCCCTTTATTTACTGCAGCATTATTTATAATAGATAGCCAAGATACAGAAACAACCCAAGTGTCCTTCCAGAGATGAAAGGATAAAGAAAGGGCATATATGTAAATGGAATATTCCTCAGCTGTTAAATACAATGTGATATAATGCTAAGTGAAATAAGTCAATTGAAGAAAAACAAATACCATAGGATTTCACTCATAGGTGGAATTTAAGAAACAAAACAAAAAAAAAAAAAGAGAGAGAAAGAGAGACAAACAAACAAAAAAAAACCAGACTCTTAAAAACAGAGAACAAACTGGTGGTTGCCAGAGGGCAGGTAGGTGGGAGGATGGGTGAAAGGGGTGAAGGGGATTGAGAGTATACTTAATTATGATGAGCACTGAGTAATATATAGAATCGTTGAATCGCATTGTGGGCCGGAAACTAATATACCACTATATGTTAATTACACTTCAATTAAAAAAAAAAAAAAAAAAAAGGAAATGATACTTTGCACTCACTGGAATTGCCAAAGTAGAAGAGATTGACAAAAAAGAATGAGACACAGGGATCGGATACATCCGTCAAGTTCCCACAGCTAAGCAGCGGCAGAACCGGGAATCCAGTTCAGGCCACCTGATGCTTCACGTCCCTATCAAGCACACTACACGCGTCTCTAAGTTCCCACACTTCCATCAGTTCCCGCCGGAGTAGGGGAGAATGAGGGACAGTTACCCACAAAGGGGACAGTGACGTCAGAAGCATACCGTAACGTTTTCCACGGTGACATCCTTGCTTACCTGTCCAGGGCCGTGCTGGTGGGCATACTCCTCCCAAACCCTCGCACCCCCATCTGCCGGAAATATGGAATGCAAGAGAGGTTGGCAGCAATGATGGCCAGGGAGTCAGAAGGGCTCACAAAGAAGCCATTCTGGCCGAGGATCATATAACGGTCCTGTCGGAAAGAATGTGTGAAAACGATGAGACAGAGCCATCTGCTGCTAGCAGCCCGTTCCCACCAGCAGCACAAGCTTCTTGACTGCCCTCCTATATTTAAACAACCTCAAACAACTTGAATGAGGCTACAGGGGGCATGAGAAACCTTTTAAATTCCTGAGTCCTGGAGGGCCCGTGATCTTGGCCAACTAGCAATGTGTTCAACCTGGTGAACTGTGGATGATGACCTTGAGCTTCCGTAGCCCCCGTGTACTTTATTTCACACTTTCCCCCAAAACACAATGGAGAACGAGAGTTATAGCTGAAAGAGCTGTTGTCTTCATGCGGCGCTTTCAACAAAACCAACCATACAGAGAGATTTATCGCATGAATTTTTTTTTTAAGACATAACCTTTTTTCACAGCATAAGGCTAACCTAGAACTAAGAAAAGCAAAAGCTATTTAATTGCAATATGGAAGAGCATTAAACAGAAGAATAGATGCAGAGCCCAGTTAGGGTTCAAATGTGCCATATGTCAACCGGCCCCAGGAATTCTCTGGCTTCCAGGGGCGGGCTTATTACATGGCAAAAGGGTCAGCAGGCAGAGAACTTTCCTACTTACCCCATCAGCATCAAATGCCGCTCCAAATCCATATTCCCCTCCTTTCATAGCTTCCAGAAGGGTTGTTGCATATGTCAGGTTTGGGTCAGGATGCTGCCCCCCGAAATCTTCCAGAGGGACACAGTTTATTGCAGAATTGGCTGGGGCTCCCAGCTCATCACACAGAACTTTTCTCACATAGGGTCCCATAACTGAAAAGAGATACACGCAGCAATATGAAATCTTTAAAGAAACCCCCAAATGTCTTCTATCCTGGGTAAAACAAGAAGGGCAATTTAAGAGCACAGAATAAATAAATTCGCCAAGCTTTTTCAAGACACAACACAGAGTAATACTTCAGCTGACATTCATTGAGCACCTAATATGTGCCAATGACTATGCTGGGCAGTTACATAATATTTTTCTCCAAAACTTTTCTAATATGTTGCCAGAAAGAAATCAACTGCTTAATAATGATCCATTGTGTGCAGCTTTTTATGTACTGAAAACTTGAGCTAAATATATGCAAAAGCACTAAAAGGCTCCAATGATGTTCTTTGTCTCTGCCATCACTTTGACTCTGTCAAGTATATAATTAGACACTGTAAACCACTGTAGCATATAAAACGAAGCATATTTTACAAAATAAGTGCTAAGGGATGGTGTTTTCCAGTTCAACACACATTTATGGAGTGCCTACCATGGAATCCCAATGTTAAGAATGGAAGGCACCATTGGGGGGCCTGGGTGGCTCAGTCAGTTAAGCATCCGACTTCAGTCCATCTCATGATCTCACGGTTCATGAGTTTGAGCCCCGCATCCGGCTCTGTGCTGACAGCTCGGAGCCTGGAGCCTGCTTTGGATTCTGTGTCTCCCTCTCTCTCTGCCCTTCCCCCACTCATGCTCACACTATACCTCTGTCAAAAGTAAAAATTAAAAAAACTTAAAAAAAAAAAAGTGGGGCACCTGGGTGGCTCAGTCGGTTGAGCATCTGACTTCGGCTCAGGTCATGATCTCGCAGTTCACAAGCTCGAGCCCCGCATCAGGCTCTGGGCTGACAGCTCAGAGCCTGGAGCTTGCTTTGGATTCTGTGTCTCCCTCTCTCTGCTCCTCCCCCGCTCATTCTCTCTCTCTCTCTCTCTCTCTCTCTCTCTCTCAGAAATAAAGAAACTTTAAAAAAAAATTATAATAGAAAAAAAAAAAGAATGGAAGGCAACATATTCAAGGGATGCAAAGCACACAGTCCCTACATTACTGGCCTCTTAAAGCAGGGGTGGGATGAGTGAAATCGACAGGTGAGTGAATGCAATAGTAAGACTGTGCTATTCAATGTAGATTTATGAAATAATTAGATCTAACGGCTTAGGAGAAGAAACAACCACAGGCAAGGTTTCAAGAAGGAGGTAGCATTTCCAAGAAGACTTGAAGAAAGAATATAGAGATGGGGACTGGGGATGTCATCCAAATGGAAATGATATTATAAACAAGGGAATAGAGCCAGAGCACACACATACAGCACATCTGGGGACCAGCATGCAATCCTGTTGGCTGAAATATATGTAAAGCATTGCTTTCCATTTATTTTCCACTGATAAGATGCAAATGTCAAATAGTGAACATCTTTTGACTTTGCATTTTAGGTTTCCTTTGGAGAACCAATCCTTTCCCCATCTCAGTTCTTATAATACAGACATGGCTAAATTCCATTTCCCCCACGGCTGAGAAGGTGACCTAGATGTGCCCAATCAATGCCCTCCATCCACAGTGATTGATTCAGAGATGGACATATAGTACAACCTAGGCAATGAGGCTCAAAACCAGCTACATTATTCAAACTATTTAGAAAGAGAAGCTGTATTCCCTCTAGGCCAGATAATGAATGCTAGGGCAAGAACCTGAAAGATCTTTTTCTGGGGAATATGATTGGCCCAATAAGAAAGAACTAAACAGCCCACACAAATGACCTTAGAGTAAAGCCCATGGAGGACGAGCTCCACACATGAGCTCCGATCTCCCAATAAAAATTTTAGTGCCTCATTCTTAAACATGCCAGACAGCCAAGGATCACCAAACTTTTGGAAAATGCAATTAACATGAGACCAAAACAAAAAGCATAAAGAACAACCTGGAGGAAACAGAAACTATAAGGAGAAGAAAAATTTTTAAATATATACCAGCAATATTTTAACAGAGATTAATAAGATATGATAAAATGGCTAAAATTAAAAAGACTGAGAATACCAAGTGAGGACATGGAAAAAGCGAAGCCCTCATACACTGATGGTGGTGCAAACGGCACAGCCACTTTGGGTAACAGTTTGGCGGTTTCTTATAAAGAGAAATATGCACTTGTCCTATGACTCAGAAATCTCAGATCTAAGACAAATGAAATCAAGTAACGCATAAAGACGTGTTCACAAATGTTGATAGGAACTTTGTAGAAGCCAAAACCTAGAAATAACCCTAACTATATCACCTGGTGAATAAATAAACAAACTGTGGTTCATCCATACAATGGAATCCTACTCATTGGTAACAAGGAACCACTCCTGATATATACAACACCACGAATCCGTCTCCAAAACTTTACGTGCGTGAAAGAAGCCTAAAATAAAGGGGTATATATTTTGTGCTTCCATTTACATGGCTTTCTGTAAAAGGCAAAATTATAGGGGCAAAAGCAGATGAGTGATTTCCAGGAGCTATGGGTTAGGATAAGGGGTATGATTACAAAGTGCCACAAGGTAATTTTCTAGAGTGGGGGAAATTCTCTATATCTTGAATGTCATAGTCATCACATGACTATATATTTTTGTCAAACTTCATCAAACTGTATGCCTAAAAGATGTCAGTTTTACCACGTATAAATCAGTAAACCTGACATTTAAAAAATATGGCACTCATGAAACATGAATAGGCCCACTATTTTTTAAAAGAGATTATTTGGAAATGAAAAAACAGTTTTTGGAAATTAGAAATACGATAGTGGAACTGAAAAACTTAATGGGAGGGCTTAGAAAAAAAGTTGAGGAAATCTCCCAGAAAGTAGCACAAAACAAAGAAAAGGAAAATAGGGGTGGCGGGGGAGGTGTAGAGGAGAGAATAGGAACACTAATACCTAAACAATAACCATTCTGGAAGGAAAGGAAAGAGAAAATAATAGAGGAAATCATTCAAGAAGTAATTTAAGAAAATGCTCCAGAATTAAAGGATACAAGTTTCCAGACTAAGAGGATCTCCCAAGTACCCAGCACAACAGAAGAAAACAGTCCCACATTAAGACCCATCAGTACAAAAGGTAGGAACAGTAATGATAAGCCAAAGACCCTAAAAGCCTCCAGAGAAGAAAAAGCAAAGATTTCATACCTGGATTAAAAATCAGAATAGCATCAGATTTCTCAAATTCAATACAATTGGCTATAAGGCAATGGAGCAATGCCCTCAAACTTCTGAAGGAAAGTAATATCCATCTTAAATTTCTATATCTAGACAAATAAATATCCCGTGAGAACAAGAAGAAAAAAAAGGTATTTTCAGATATGCAATGACTCAACACATTCAGCTCCCATCAGGTTTCTCTCCGAGCTCCTGGAGAATCTGTTCCTCCAAAACAAGGAGGTAAATCACAAAAATGGAAGACAAAGGATGTGGACATAAGGAGAGTCAACATGAGAAAGGGGTAAAGAGAATTACTAGAATGATGATAAGGACAACAACAACTCAAGAGAGCAACCAGTGCAGAGGGGAGCACATCAGAGATCTCCAGGAACATGAAGTGAGAAGATATAGATCCTGGGAGAGTATGGGGATTAAGAGTTATGATAGTGTAGACACTGGACACCAATCTTACCAAAATGATGATATAATTAGTGTATCTGAACACACACACATTGTGTGAATATCCATGAACCCAATCTTCCTCATAATCTCAGAAACCCAACATGGGTAGAGGCCTCTTCAACATTTTTTGGCCACCAATTGGGAGAAGACCACGAACTTACCTCCGTGCATCGCATCAACTCGGATCTTCAGTTGGCCGGGCCCTGTCAGCAAACTCTTGATGGCATTAAAGTCAAAGATGGTCCGAAGGAGGTTGAGATAGATATCTACTGGGTCCACTATCTCCACTAAGGATAGAAAAGCAAAAGGAAACGTCAATGACCATACCCATGAAGTATACTTGGGAACGAAAAGAAGAATCACTACCCTAAAAGCATGAAGTTCCGATCACAGTTCCATCAGAACCCTACACAGCACGTGGGAAGCCAAGTGCCCATTTGTAGGCTAAGTCACAAATTAAGGCACAATCAAGATCCTACACACTTTTCAGGCCATTATCGGGTATAAATAGTACAAGTTATACGTCCTTCTTTGCACATGAAAAATCAACCCCAAAATAAAGTCGTTCGGATAAAAACTACGCCCTCTTATCCCACCATCCTTCTAACACCTCCTCCCCCAAAAATGCACACACCCCAATGCTAAGAGGCACCTGGGCACACCCTGTTCCTCTCCTGTGGGGGTTAGCCAAACAATGACTCAGCAGGCTTGGAACAAATCAAGGAGTGACTTCAGTGATCCGTATTTTCTAAATGCCTTTGTGACCACCAAATCCAGGGTTGGAATTGGTGATGAAGGATAGATTCTCGAGTCTGTGCGAAGTCTCTCGTGTGCCCAGTCCAGTCCCAATTTCAGGGTCAGTGCCAGATACTTAGAAATCCTCGTTAAACACGAATGTTCTTCAATGTCTGTTACCACCCGATGACCAGAAATCCAAAACTAGTCTTTTCCAGTTATTTGACAGATACACAAAACCCAAAACACATTACATTTTTCAGACTTGGCCATCAGCATGTAATTAATACTGAGAAAATACTTTCCCTAGAATAGTAAATATTTGACTCTTTAGGCACTAAAATTTGTCCATAAGCCCTGCTTTTAAACTCATACTTATGTTGACATGTATGGATGTTGTCTTTCAAATTTTTCAAATTCTGAAATATTAAACCTGGTAAGATATTATCAATCTGTCTTTAATAATTTTCAGTAAATCCAGGCATAACATTTAATGGATAGAATTTAAAAATATTTTTTAGTGTTTTATTTATTTTCGAGAGAGATAGAGAGTGCGTGCAGGGCAGGGACAGAGAGAGAGGGGAACAGAAGATCTGAAGTGGGCTCTGTGCTGAGAGCAGCAAGCCCAATGTGGGGCTCGAACTCACAAACTGTGACATCGTGGCCTGAGCCGAAGTCAGATGCTCAACTGAATGAGCCACCCAGGCACCCCTAATGGATGGAATTTTAATATTCTATATGAAACTGTCTCATCATCTTGTCAAATACAAATCTAAAAATATTTTTCCTTGCACTTAAATCAATGTAGTATGCGTGCCCATTCATATATACTGTAATTAGTTTTTAATGAACACAAAATGGTTTGTGTTCACTAAAAAGTAATCCTTTGGGGCGCCCGGGTGGCTCAGTTGGTTAAGCGTCTGACTTCAGCTCAGGTCATGATCTCACTCTCCGTGAGTTCGAGTCCCGCATCGGGCTCTGTGCTGACAGCTCGGAGCCTGGAGCCTGCTTCAGATTCTGTGTCTCCCTCTCTCTGCCTCTCCCCTGCTCATGTTCTGTCTCTGTCTCAAAAATACATAAAAACATTTAAAAAAATTTTTTAAGTAATCTTTTGACATGAGGGGGATATTAATTATACAATAAACTAAGTAATTAATAAAGTGATGACTAATCTTTTGACATGAGGAGGATATTAATTTGTACAATAAATCAAGGATTTATATGAAATGTAGACCTAAAAATGGTTAAGATGGAAAAGTTTACGTTATGTATATTCTACCACAATAAAAAAAATAATAATTTATAAAACAAAAGGTTATGTCCTAAATACGTTAGAAGTCTTACTCACTCTGTAAGATACGAGAATATTTTTGGCAGTTTCATTCTGGTTCTTTAATTCTTGAACCGCTTGCCTAAATATACTTGGTATTCATAGCAGATAACACATGGTAAACAGAAATGTAAAAAACAAGGAAGTAGAATTCAGTGAAAACTGAAAGTTCGCGTCAAGTAGTTCATGCTCTTGACCCTTTAAGGGGAAATGCCAAGGAATGAACGTGTTTCCAATTAACTCAAGCCTTGCTCAACATTTAAAGCAGCAAGAACACAGCACATAGATCATCCCAAACACTCATCCCCAAATTCTTCCTGGAAGCCAAGGAATTCTTCTGCCCACCTCCTGGTATCCGGAGCATTTGAGAAAACTCAGCACACTAGCAACGGGGCTGCATCAACTGCCTGACTCTGAGCTCACCAAAGACACGGGGGTCTCTGGAACAACCATAAAAATCGTGAAGGAACCAAAAATCAATAAATCAATAACAACTGCTTCCTGACGGTAACGCCTGGTTTTTCCCAGTCACTTCCTTGTCCAGTTTTCCCAAATGTATGTACACAAGCATGTTTAAGTCATTTTGTTTCACGTAATACGTCTCTTGTCGATAGTTGTCAAGACATCGCGTGCGCATGTGTGTGTGCGTGTGCACGCTCCCAGCTAGATTTACAAAGGAGGCACATGGCTTCCAGTATCACGTGGCTTTCAGTCAATGTCTGCCGATTGGCTAAGCAAGCAATGGACTCAAAATCCTTCAAGAAAAAGGCAGTCGTGTTAGCTTAACAGTGTGACCCCGCAACAGTCCATTTCAAGGTTTTCTCTGTCCCACAAATGCCATGTGCCTGTCAGCCAGGCATTTCATCCTTTTAGTTAAGTCAACTAAAGACAACACCTTAACACAAACTGTAGTCAAGCTTATAGGGCACTAAAGGAGTAAATAGTTGGCTTTATCACTAATTGTATGCCTTCTAGGCAAAAGCAGTAAGATAAAAGAGAGGGGAATAATAATATGCTATACGCATATTATATGATATTGATGGTATTATACGGTTCAATATTAACCCACAAATTTAAAGGTTATAATCTGAGTACTCCAGAAATTTTAGTCACTCTACGGTATAGGATATTTGGGGCAATTTCATTCTGTTCGTTGCCTAACTCCATTCAGTACTTACTGAGTTCCTTTGTAAAATCTCCTAACACAGTACTTGCTATAGAATAGGTGACTACTTGTGCATTAAATCAAGTTGAATGGCATGGTTCTGGCTTGGAAAAGAAATGCCTACCTTCCATGGGCCATTTTAAGAACCCCACTACCTTGTTGAGTCTCTCCTCAACTGTTTAAGGCATTCCAGCATCTTCGCCTTAATTGATTAGAAAAGCAAAGACATGTTTTGGCAATTCAGAGACTATCCTTGGAACGCTATAACGGAGTCAGCCATGACATTTTTCCTCTACTGAAAGTGATCTTGGGTTTAGAAAGTCATTTTCGAAAGTTGCCAGTTCTGAAGATCTTGGCTGCTCTGACTTCTCGGTGCACCACAGTCGTGGTACATCTATTTCTCAAAAATCAATCCCCAAATGGACAATCCAAACGCTTTAATGTGTGCCCTCCCCTGCAGAAGATAGAGTCACCCCCATTCACGGAGCTATTCTTTTTCAAAATATAATCTATTACCTCTGAATGGCTTGAATTTGTTCTCCAGGTCAAATTCTTGTCTTCCAAGCCGAGATAGGTCGATTCGAAGATCAGGACATATGGCGTACTCCTCAATTGTCTTGCTGATCTGATAGATTTTGTCGGAGACCACATCTGGGGCAGGACCTAACACGTGAAAATAGCGCGTCACCCAAAAGAAATTTTTTAAAAGGTGTCTGCAGTTTCGATCAGGGATGTGTCATCTCCTTCACCGCCAAGCAAAAGAAAGGTGCATTTGTTCTCCAAACAGTGGACAAACAGTTCACAGTTCGGTTAGCCTCTGTATTCCTTATGCTGTATTCATCCATGATGGAGGAAATTTGGTCAGCCTCACCTGTTCTACATAGGCTAATAACCCACATGTTTGTTTGTCTGAATCCGCTTCTGAGTAATGATACAACTTCCCTAAAAATAGTTTCACACCTGCTAGGGAGACCCGGTTATGTAATCTGCTTTATTCAGGATATGAGACATCAATGGGGTATGCACTTGACACAAGTGAGGGATCCCAGATTTAAACTGCAGCCTCCTAAGTGCATCTAGAGAAAGAAAGTATGGCTTCTACTCCCAGGTCTGCTGCCTTGTTGAGGCAGCTTACAGGGTCAACTATTTCCCCCAACTCACGCTCTCTAGTGACTTCCAAGTTCTTAAAAGGAGGTTAAAGCAGGGTGCCTGGGTGGTTCAGTCGGTTAAGCTTCTGACTCTTGGTTTCGGCTCAGGTCACGATCTCATGGTTTTGTGGGTTTGAGCCCCGCATCGGGCTCTGCACCGGCAGCACAGCCTGTGCTTGGGATTCTCGGTCTCCCTCTTTCTCTGCCCCTCCCCCACTCACTCTGCCTCTCTCAAAATACACAAATAAAGTTAAAAACTTTTTTAAATAGGGGCGCCTGGGTGGCTCAGTTGGTTAAGCGTCCAACTGCGGCTCAGGTCATGATCTCACGGTTCGTGGGTTCAAGCCCCGCGTCGGGGCTCTGTGCTGACAGCTCGGAGCCCGGAGCCTGCTTCGCATTCTGTGTCTCCCTCTCTCTCTGCCCCTCCCCTGCTCATGCTCTGTCTCTCTCTCTCTCCTTCAAAAATAAATAAATAAATAAATAAATTAATTAATTAATTAAAACACCTAAAAAATTAAAAAAAAACTTTTTTAAATAAATGAAATAAGGTTTAAACAAAAAATATTTGATCCGTTTCCTTATAAAATCAAAAGGACTATTAGGTTGTGATACACTTTAAATGAATAGAAAATCAACAATTCGTCCTCTTTCTGTTTTTCTTTTCTTTTTAATTTTTACATCTTAATGCAAGTCACTTTAGATTTTTTGCAACAAGTTTGGGAAATCAAATGAGTACACTCAATCAAATGAGTACACTGAGATCTAAAATATAAACGATAGACAATAGATGGGTTGTGTATGAATTACCCAACTATATTGTAACTTTCAACTGAAGAGAAATCTAGAAATAATTTCTTTTCTATCCTAATCCTTAGAGCTACACTAATACAATAGCCAGCTCTGTCCCTCACTTTTAAACAGTCCGAATTTTAATGACAAAGCACACCTGTTTCCAAAAGGAAAACAGCTTCTAGAATGTTGGTTTTCTATGATGCCTATCAGCCACTCACATTGTTACCCTCACAGCTCATCAGCAACCTCTGTAGCCGCTGACAACTTCCAAGTTCCTTGACGTCATCTACTCCGATGACTTTTCCTCTTCATTTTAGCCAATGGCTGGCAGAGTCATACCTGAAGTATTGTTGTCGCTTGAAATCCTTTCAAAAATATCAAATTTGGTTGTCCTCAGCCCATAAATTCCTTATCTGCCAGCCACCCTACTCTGTACCTCTGCTGAACCTGCTCATTCCTATACTAATGCTCGTCATCACCTGATTAATCACAGGCTAGTGGTCCATTCTAGTTTCCGTGGTCTCTTATCCCAGGCAAGACCCTCTGGTCCACCATTTGAGCCATACCTTTGTTAGCATAATAACATGAGCCAACCTGTACTGAAACTTACATACACCGCATTTCACACTTTATATGGAATTGGGCACTCACAAAAAGCAGATGAAGGAAGAATTCTTATTATCCTCATTTTCCAAATGGGGAAACTGAAATTTGAAGAAGGGGGGAGACCCTTAACCAAGGTCCCATCACTGGTAATTAACAGAGGCTGGATTTTGAATCCTAATAGTCCGATGGCAGCTCAGACATCCGTAATGAGTACAAGCCCCCCTGAGGCCGTGCCAAGCCCACGCTGCCATTCCCCAACCCTGGGACATTGCCATCACCTTCCCCCACTGCTGCCATTCCCAGACTCCCCCACATTGCTGGGGGCGGTTACAAAATAACACCGACTGCTTGCCCCTAAGAATGAGGCTGCTTCACTGCACAACTTCCTATGAATTCTCAACAAATTTTCCAGAGTACCTTTTACAAAATATGTTCCAAGTCCCTTCTTTATCCTTGTCCCATGATCTGAGCAGGCAACCTTTCTTCTTACTTTCTTTTTGCATAGATCTAGGAACTATTTCCCCAGACTTCCATTCTGCACCCCTCAGAGTTGCTTCCTTCCCCATTTCCTTGCCTTCTTATTCAAATGTTCTGCCCTCTTCTCCGAATCTAGGCTCTGATTGAGCGCCACAGCTTACTGATTCTGTGACATGGCGTTAAGTTTTTGAAACCATTTTATTCCTCAGTCACTTCATCGGGCTGTTAGGAGGATTAAGGGAGACAATGCATGTAAATAAAGGTCGGACTATGGTGCCTGGCACATTGTAAGATTCAGAAAACATCCAGTATTTTTATTACTGATTCCATTTCCCCTCTAGCATCTTCCCCTATACTTAAAAACATGCTCACAATGGTCCTGTGCTCTAAATCCATTTTAAAAGCAACATAGTTCCAGGGACGCCTGGGGGGTTCAGTTAGTTAAGCGTCAGACTCTTGACTTCGGCTCAGGTCATGATCTCCCTCCCCATCATGAGTTCAAGCCCCGCGTTGGGCTCTGCACTGAGCACGGAGCCTCCTCGGGGTTCTCTCTCTCCGCCCTTCCTGCTGCTTATGCTCTGTCTCTCAAAATAAATAAATAAACACAAAATAAGATAAGATAAAATAAGAAGATAAGATAAGATAAGATAAGATAAGATAAGATAAGATAAGATAAGATAAGATAAAAACAACATAGTTGCAGATGCGTCCCATTTCCCTGAATGTGCCTACTAATTCCATAAAATGTATCTGTATGGCACACAATGAAAAGAGGTAAATGCTTCTCCCAAAAAAGAACTTATGGTAAAATTCATTCTACTTTCAGTGGGAAGAAACCAACTGAATCTCTCTATGCCATCAGGAATGTGAGCTTCATTAATGATGCCAAGGCATGGAAACATGAAGAATTAAGTGTAAGAGAGGGACTTTCAATATAGTCAAAGGCTAAATGATAAACTCAATCCCCTCCCTCTATGGCTGAGTAGGTCTCACTTCCTCCTGTAATTCAGTCTACAAAATGGGTATTTAAATAATATCTTCTCCCTTTATGCCGCACAGGATGTCATCGAGATGACTGAGGTGTTCTTACAAGATATGAAACCAAACATAAATTCCAAATGCTTACTTGAAATCCATTGTTTAGTTTGGCAACTTACATATCCTATTTCTCTGCAAACTCCCATTTTCTGAGCCCATTCGATTTCTTGCGTTAACAGCGTATAAAATACCTGAATACTGCCTGTTTTTTCCTGAAATTCTCAGTACCTGTTGCAAGACTAGATGTGGTCCTAGGTGTGATTTTTAATGAAGGAGAGCTTCTCCCATCACGGGACACTTTGTAAGGTGTTTTGCGGGTCTTTTTTTTTTTTTTTTTTTTTTTTAACACTTGATGGGAGTGAAGTTCCTTTGCTTGGATAATGTCCCAAATGGCTGTAGGGAGGGGGAAATAACAAATATTGCCTTCAGATTCATAAAAGTAACTGCTGTTGGTTAAAAATCAGCTCCTACCCACCTATAATAGCAGACTCAGGGTTCAAGATTAAAATTTAGAGACTTGACGAGCAGATGGAAGGCATGGTTCTGGGATGAATCCTGTTCTGGGATGAATCCTGTTCTGGGATGAAACAGCTATAAATAACATTTTGGAGGCAACTGGAAAAATTTCAATATAGATTAGGTTTTAGAGGATGTTAGGGAATTCGTGTTATTTTTGTTAGGCCTCATAATGTAGTTATGTAGGAATAGGTCTTTCTTTTGAAGAGATGTATTCAGAAATATCTAGGTGTAAATGTCTTCATGCTCTAGTTTACCTTAAAATCTTTTAGGGGACAAAAAAGCGCAAAATGGAAAAACAAATAATGGACACAAGCTACCCATTTATTATTCTCCTTAACTTAATATGTGTTTAAAATTGTGTTTCAAGGGGCGCCTGGGTGGCGCAGTCGGTTGAGCGTCCGACTTCAGCCAGGTCACGATCTCGCGGTCTGTGAGTTCGAGCCCCACGTCAGGCTCTGGGCTGATGGCTCGGAGCCTGGAGCCTGTTTCCGATTCTGTGTCTCCCTCTCTCTGCCCCTCCCCCGTTCACGCTCTGTCTCTCTCTGTCCCCAAAAAAATAAATAAACGTTGAAAAAAAAATAAAAAATAAAATAAAATAAAATTGTGTTTCAGGGCGCCTGGGTGGCTCAGTTGGTTAGGCGACCGACTTTGGCTCAGGTCCTGATCTCACAGTTCGTGGATTTGAGCCCCACGTCGGGCTCTGTGCTGACAGCTCGGAGCGTGGAGCCTGCTTTGGATTCTGTGTCTCCCTCTCTCTCTGCCCCTCCCCTGATCATGCTTTGTATCTCTATCTCTCAATAATAAATAAACATTTAAAAAAATTAAAATTGTTCTTCTAATTCACCCCTATATATATATAAACAACCCCACAAAGACCTCCAAACTATAAATTTCTGTTAATATAAGAAAAAAGTGGAACGATCATAAGCATTTCAGTGAGACAAAGTCAACGCTATAGGAAAGAGGAAGTCTATGAGTTATGTTAAAAACTCATTTGTCTGGCTTTGAGCAGCCATGTGAACTTGAACAAGAGCCTCTTGGGGATTTGATTTGTTCATCTGCCAAATAACAGGAATGGTCTAAATGACTTGGAATAAGTTCCTACTTTAAAATCCAGAGCCCTTCTAGGGGTGTGTGGGTGGCTCAGTTGGTTGAGCGTCCAACTTTGGCTCAGGTCATGATCTCATGATTTGTGGGTTTGAGCCCCACGTTGGGCTCTGTGCTGACAGCTCAGAGCCTGGAGCCTGCTCCGGATTCTGTCTCCCTTTCTCTCTGCCCCACCCCCACTCACACTCTGTCTCTCTCAAAAATAAATAAACATTAAAAAAATTCTTTTTTTAATCCAGACCCCTTCCATATCAGATAAGCATCAATTATTCAACCATTTGACTGTGCTAAGAAGTGCAGAGGCTCAAAACACCAAATAGGTTCGAGATCTCATTAGGCCACCTCAAGCATTGTGGGGTTAGTTTTATATGTCAACCTGACTGAGCCCCACAGTGCCCAGATATTTGGTGAAACCTTATCCCAGGTGTGTCTGTAAGGGGGTTTCTGGAAGAGATTAGCATCCAGGAGACTGTGTAAAGTGCCCACTACCGGTGGCCTCATCTGAGAGCCCACTGAGAGCCTGGACAGAACAAGAGGCTGAGTAAGGGAGAAGTCACTCTCCCTGTCTGGCTTCAAGCTGAGACAGTGGTTCTCTCCTGCCTTTGAACCTGAACCTGGTCTCAGACTGGAACTTCCACCATCAGTTGTGCTGTTTTTCAGGCCTTGGGACTCAGACTACAACTCTGCCATTGCTCTCCTGGGTCTACAGTCTCTGGAGTTTTCAGCCTGCATAATCATGTGAGCTAACTCCCTCGCTGGGTCCGGGGCAGGTGTGGCTGTGGGTAGGCCCTTTAAGAGCCATCCCTCAGTTTGTCGTAGTCCTCAGGTTGAGGGCGCGAGCCAGTTCGTCTTCGAAGCCAGATGTTTTGGGGGGGTGCATCTCTCAGGTACCAGTCTTAAAAGGTGGGGTGCCCAATGTAGAGTACGAACCCTCCCTTTCTTGGGGAGACTCTCTAGGTTTTCTGTTCTCTCCAGAGGGTGGCTCATTTCACCAGTGGTGGGTTTGTTTCCCAGTCTCTTCAACCCACTTTGAAGTGGTTTCCCTCTCACTTGCCCTATGGAAAGGGGTTGCTGTGCTAGTTTTTAGGTTTTTGTTTTTGTTTTTCAGAGGAAATCGTTCCATATATCGGTAGATTCGGTGTGTCCATGGAAGGAGGTGAGTACCAGATATTCCTATGTTGCCATGTTGAACGGGAACCCAGCCAATTCCTTATAATAAATCTCTTTATAGCCTACTGGTTCTGTTCCTCTGGAGAACCCTAAGACAGACCCCTCAATGGAACTTTCTGAGCCACTTCCTCTCCACCTTGCTCATCTACCATCAGAGTCATTGTAAGACTACAATAACCTAAGAGGACAGAAACCATGAAGATTAAGGTATCCTCTAAACTACATACCTCCATTGGCAACATTGAACTTCACTCCAAACTCTCCAGCTGGTCCCCCAGGGCAGTGGCTGGCTGTTAGAATGATTCCACCGGCGGCCTTGATCTTTCTGATAATGCAGGAAACAGCAGGTGTCGACAAGATGCCATTCTGTCCAATAATCAGTCGTCCAATCTAGATCAGCCAAGGAAAAAAAATCAATCCAGTTACACGGGATCAAAGGCATTTCAATGGGAAGTGCCCCAGGCTCTGTTAACACACAGTCAATCACTTGCAAAAGGCATAGAGTGGGCTTTGGGTTAAGGGGTAAAGGAGAGCTCTGGCATTGCCTCCTGCCCAGTATCTCCAACACCAGTTGGGGCACCCACATGTAGCAGCCAACTATTAAGCTGTAAATTGGACCTGCCCCATTGATTTTTAGTAGTTTGAAACATCCACTTTATATCTATATACAATTTATTGTCAAGTCAGCTAACATACAGTGTATACAATGTGCTCTTGGTTTGGGGGGGGTAGATTCCCATGGTTCATCGTTTACATACAACACCCAGTGCTCATCCCAACAAGTGCCCTCCTCAATGCCCATCACCCATTTCCCCCTCTCTACTCCCCTCCCCTCCATCAACTCTCAGTTTGTTCTATTCAACAGTCTCTTATGGTTTGCCTCCCTCTCTGTTT